ATGTCGTTCCAAACCCGTAAGACCTCCGTTCATCTTCGGAACACAAATTAAGATATTTTTGATGAACTCCGAGAGCTCTCTGACCCTCCCATAGACAGCAAGGATCCTAACACGATCAAGGCTCAGAAACGTAGCAAGGAGATCGTTAAAATAATCCATGTGACATCAGTGGGTTAACTGTAATATTATGAAGCTACGAGAATACTTTTTGTGCGCAAAGAAAACAAAAATAACGATTTTATTCAACAATTCGTCTCCTCCGCGCCCTAGCACCATTTTGGAGAGTATCACATACTAGGGCTGTCCAAAAAAAATTTGAATTTCGAATATTCGTCGAATTTAAAATAAAAATCCAAATTCGAATGCAAAAACGTTGCATTCGAATTTTAGGTGTGCGTTAAGGAGGCAGCCTTATCAGTGGCGCACGAGATGTGATGACGATGTAAGTGTTGTTACGTCCCAGATGTAAGGGTCTAGGGTTAAGGGGGTAACAGAGAAAAGTAAACATATAAATTTGGTTGGGGTGAGTGAGTACCAGTCCCCTGCCCAGCACAACAGACACGTTAAGTTCCAAAATCAAGTATTTTATTTCCAAAATTTCCAAATGACAAAGTAAAATAGGAAGCAAAATAGACTTCAAGAGGGGGAAAGGCCAAAACAACAAACAAAAAGACCCTCTAACTAGTTGAGTAAAACGGTCTAAACTGACAAAACAAAAGAAAATTAACAACAGAAATGCACGCTAACTCCCTAACTAAGCAAAAACAAGAGAAAAATATTCACAAATAAAATAGCACCCACCTCCCTACGGCTTCCAACACTGAGAGACACGTAGCGCAACAACAACGCTAATTACCTTTCGGAAGGCTACAATAAGCCATAACCCGAGTAAGTTTTACACTGTATCAATTTCTGACAAAACTACAAGAGCAACACAAGGCAGGCGAGAAGCACAGCACTCTGGAAGTCGAGCTTCAGTGTGGTAGGCATGTTGAACAGCTTTTGAGCTTGCAGCCTCTGCACAGTAATGAACGGCAGGTGCGAGTGATCACCTTCCTCTCCTCCACACCTGGTTGAGCAGCAGTAACACATGGAGAGACAGAGAAAAGAGCACACAGCAGTCCGTAGCAACCAACAATATTATATAAATAAACACGGAACGTAACAGTGTCGTTGCATTATAATGTTTTCGTTAGCCTATTCAGTTGAAGCCAATAGATGCGGCCCTGCTGCGTTGTTCATTACAAATATTGCAGGAAAAGAGAACATCAATGCGGAGAAGATCTTGTTTACGTCAAACTGAAACTAAAGCCGGGCTCACACTGTGAGATTTTTTTAAAAGTCCTTTAGGATTGTACTTGTCAGACTGTACGAACATGATTATCATGTCACACTGTGGGATCTCAGTTGTCATTAATGTCAGACTGTACGACAGTCAAGACGTGTTAAAAACGGGTGCGCGCAAAAAAAACTTGTCCCGAGTTTTACCTTATCAACCTATACATGTTCAGTGACTGCGAGCTGCATTGCACGCGGGGCTGTAATGTTGGCATGACTGTCGGTGAACATGTCAAACTAACGATCAAAGACTACAGGTTTATAAGATTTAAAGATTTAAAGATTATAGGAATCTTTTAGGATTTTCAAAATTTGTCTCAGACGACCAAATCGTGGCCAAAACCGCACAGTGTGAGCCTGGCTTAAGCCATTCACACAGAACGCATATTTCGCGCATTTTCTAGAGGGACATCTATCACCGTTGCACTCGCGTCTCGCACAAAAGAGCCGAATGTTTAGAAAGCCATGTAAAATTAATGCAAGTTCAGCTTTAAAAAAACATATCTCGAGACTTTATGGCGGTTCTTTTCCCCATCCCACTGCAACTCGTGTTTTTAAATGAAAAATGTACTCCGTGTGATTGGCTTTC